TGGGGTGGGGTGGGGTCGGGGTCAGGGTTGGTAACCGAGGCCTGAGGAACCCGAGGAGTAGGGAACGAGGGTCGGCGGGAATACCGTGGGTAGGGGCTGACGCTGGAGGCTGGGGTTTGGGTGCCGGGTGACGACGGAGTAGGAAGTGGGCAATCACACAGCACTGTCCGTCCCAAGCTTCGACGGACATGCGTACCCACAGCGACCACCCCTGGCTCGTCGACAGTCGGTAGAACTTTCTGTGTGCAGAGTGCGCTGGGACGCTTTGCACGCAGCTTTTGCGGCGCAGGGCTCCGCGGCTGGACTGGCGCCCCATCAGCAAGGTTGACATGGCAGCTCGGATGCCTGCCTCCGATGATCATCGCGCGGCGAGCTTCATGCTTCACGTCCGCCTGCGATCACTCGCCGCGGTTTTCCTTGTCAGGGCTTGCTGGAGGCGCACCCCTCTGTGGCCGGCCACACGGTGGCGGACCTCCCGCGAAAGCGCGGCGCCACGAGCAGCAGCGGCGGCGCCGGGGCCGGCGGTGCGGCGGCGGCAGCGGCGGCTGGGGAGATCCCGGTGCTGCTGCTGATTGACACCGCCGGCTGCGGCTTCGAGGAGCGGAAGGAGGAAGAGGGCGACAGCATGTGCGTTGATGTTTGTCGTTGCAGGCGGGGGCAAGGGAGCTGGCCCGCGAGGGAGACAGGGAGCGATGGAGAGAGGGGGGAGGGAGGAAGGCAGGGTCGGCCGGCGCCGCGGGCGCTGGGTGCAGCAGTAGGCGGATTCGCACAGCCTCAGCAGTCCCCTTGTCGTGCGCAGCAGCAACAAGGTGGGCCGGTGCTCCCCCGTCTCCACGCCCACAACGCCCCTGACATGTGGCACTCTGCATCCAACCGCTTTCCGGATCATGCTGTCGTCGCACGTTGCAGCTGCAACGAAGCGGAGGCGCGCGCCGCGCTGGCGCATGTGCAGCGGCTGCTGGCTGCTGGGCTGGCGCCGGGTGACATTGGCATCATCACGCCCTACAGCGCACAGGTGTTGACTGTGTGCGAACTTGCGCGCGCGTGTGTGTGCGTGTGTGTGTGTGTGTGCGCGCGTGCGCGTGCGTGTGTGTGTGTGTGTGTGTGTGTGTGTGTGTGTGTGTGTGTGTGTGTGTGTGTGTGTGTGTGTGTGTG